TTGTCTTGGTTATTGATTGTAAAACTTAACAAGGTTTAATTTGCAATGCCTTTTTGCTTGCTATAAAATACTACTGTTTGTATTCTCAATCTGTTTGTGTAGGGTTACCATATGTCCATTTTTTCCCGGACATGTCCGGCTTTTTGGTAATCAAACCCCCGTCCGGGGGGAATTTCCAAAAAGCTGAACATGTCCGGGAAAAAATAGTCCTTGGCTTACCTTAGAGTGGGCGCCGGGGGGCTGCTGTGCTCCCTGACTCCTGGGCTCTGTAAGCGCTGAGCTGCCCAAGCGCTACCAGCTTCAGGCAGCCCCCATGCCTCCGGACCCTGTGCCGCCAGCCGGGCACTTCCCCTCCCGGGCCCCGGGGGCGCAGGGTCCAGAGGCATAGGGGCTGCCCGAAGCCGGTAGCGCTCGGGTAGCTCGGCGCTTACAGAGCCCAGGAGTTCAGGGAGCACAGTAGCCGCTGGAGCCCGGGAGGGGAAATGCCCGGCAGGGGGCGCAAAGTCCAGAGGCATTGGGGGCTGCCAGAAGCCCGAGCGCTACTGGCTTCACGGTTTGCCGGGCAGCCTCCCCTCCCAGGCTCTAGCTGCGCTGGGGAAGCGCCGGCCGGGGGCGCAGGGTCTGGGGGCTGCCCGGCAAACCGTGAAGACAGTAGCGCTTGGGCAGCCCTTTTCGCGTGGCTGGGAGGGAGGAGGAGGAGGAGTTAGGGCGGGGACTTTGGGGAAGGGGTGGAGTTGGGGCAGGGCCAGGGGTAGGAAAGGGGCAGGGCCAGGGCCCCGTGGAGTACCCTCTTTTTTTATTTTTTAAATATGGTAACCCTAGTTTGTGTGAATGAGGAATATATGCATCAGGAAAAGATAAGGTGTGAAGGCCATTGTTATAGCCAGAGACAAGGAAGAAGGAGTGAAGAGACTTAAAGGACATCAAAGAACCATCAACACGCATCCATAATGAAGGGCTGATTGGCGACCCGGAGGTAAAAGCTGTTACCCCTAAGGACAATTGATTAAATTGGAACAAAGGACAGGATGACCCTCTCGGAAGTGTATTGGAATGTTTACACCAGTTAAGAAGTAACTGGTAACAAACTGACACAGCAAAATCCATAGGAGAAAATCCTATAAGAACAGGGTGCTTGGCCATGGGACTTTGGGTTTGTCTTGCCACACTCCAGGAGCATCGGATTGCAACAGATAGAGCCCTGCTCCCCTCTGCGACCAATCTGGCTGGCCACTCGATTGATCCAGATTCTGGACTGGTAACTATAAACATCAATGCAGGACTGTGTGCGTATGTGTGTCTGAAAAGCATATGGTAACTGTGGTATTCTCAATAAATGCTGTGCGTATTTACCTTCCTCTATAAAGATCCTGTGTGCTTTGTATGAGCATAACAATCTCATCAAAACACAGCAAAAAGTTTGTTTGACAATACCTATTTCCCACAAAATCATGTTTATTAGCATCAATCATGTTAACATCCTTTACTTCTTTATTGATTGTGTCCCATAACAGCCTTTCCATGATGTTTCCCTGGTTTGATGTCATGCTAACCAGATTATATAGTTATCTAGGTCATCCTAATTATCCTTTCAAAATACTGGCACATTGTCTTTTTTGCCCATACTCTAGAACTTTCCTAATGTTCCAAGGTTTGTTAAAAATCAGCATTAATGGTTGAGAGACTTCCTCGGCTAATTCTTTTAATACTCTTGGATGCAGGCTATCTGATCCTGCAGATTTTAAAACATTGACTGGTGGAAAAGTGTGATTTTTTAAAAATGTAATGGTGTTCCTTTCCAGAAGTTTCAGAACAGTTCTGTGTCTGTCAGTGCCTATTAAAGGACTGTTATTAATTTGTAACTTAAATGTCACCAGCTTGTTTAAATATGTTGCTAATACTTGCTTTGTTTCATGGAGGTAGGAGAGTTTTGTTCTGTTTTAATACTAGCAAGCAGAAGCAGAATAGCTACCAGAGGAAAAGGTCTGAATGTGTCAATCAGCAACTGGAACAGTCTGCATAAAAGTTCTGTGCAGACTAGCCCAGGGCAGCAATGTAGCAGAGTCCAACATGGTGCTCATGGCTTGGCAAGTGACAATCCCAAGATTTAAAAATTAAAAACAAAAAACAAAAACAAATCAACACAACAATTGTTTCCAACTGGAAATGCACACAAAATCCCAGCCATTCCCAGTGCGTGAATCCCATCCTGTGCGCATGTATTGGGGTACCACAGCTAATAGCACCATGTCCTTAAAAAGAACAGGAAACAAACAGGAAAATGCTTCGTTGTACTTAGTTTGTTAATTGGGGAGCACTATTTAGGATTTGGCTGTGTCAGCAATCAACTGTATCAGAACTCATTGTGCTTTGGCTGGCGTATCAAGATAATTTTTAAACCTCACTTTAAAGATCTCAGCCCTGTAGGTTTTAAGGATGGTGGTGACTGAGGGAGAAAGATGAACATAACTCATTTGGGCAGATTTCTATGAGGAGACTGGTTAAACAATCCTAAAAATATTCTGTCACCTTGAGTATTCAATTGCTAGAAGGCTAGAAATATCACATGCACAATACACATTACATTAATAGTGCTACAGTTTTTGTGGCAATCACAGCCAAAGTTTTGAGTGATTTTTTTTCACAGAACATTAGCTTGTTTGATAGAAAGCAACATTGCTGTACAGTTTTAACACCAATAAAGGCTAGATTTGTGAGCTGCTTCTTTGAAAGAAACCTTTCAGCCAATGATCAGTATTGCAAACACTGAACAACTCATTCCCTGTATTTCACCAGATTATTGCTTTACTAGCTTAGTAACTGAAAGAAGGCCTATTAAATTAATAGGTGAATATTCAGAATATGACTGTACAACCTAAGTAAGATAAAATATTAAACAATAAAAATTGCATTTCGACCATCAAAATGTATTACTTGACTAAACATGGTTTCAACATCCTTATGCAGTAATAAGACTAACGTTGATCAATTTGTCTATGCATAAAACAATCTTTTCCTGTGACACTTACATGCCCAAATATAAATGACGACATCAAGAGAGCTATTCTAGAATAAATAGCTCTTCCGAACACAGAACTGTGAAATACTCTACATGTTCACCCATCCTTGACATTGAACTCCAGCTGTTTTGAATCATATTAGCTTTGTAGTTTGGACAATGATACCAACAAACAAATGGCCAAGTACACCCCCTATTAAAGGTGATGCCAAAATGGTATTTTTCCCTTCTTCTCTCCATGATTTAAACAAAAGAACAAATATCCAAAGGTAAAATGCTCTCTTTTAATTACTAAATTAAGAAAGTTAAACAGTTTTAAAATGTAAACTTGCAAATAAATCATAACAAAATGTAATTAAGACTTTAAAATTTGCAACTCAGTATTAAAAACTCAATAGAAATAGAAAGGAATTGTTTTTTGGTTAAATGTAAGTCATTCAAGGCTGGTACAAATAGACAGCTGAAAAAGTAATACTTTGTTCTGTGCATCTCCCATGAAATGTAAAGAAGTGCATAGTAATTCCACTGGAGAACTCGCAGACATATAGAAAGTAATTTCATTAGCAGTACAGGACATTTAACACACTTATTTTACAATGGGCAATGTTACACATAAAACAGAAAATCCTAGTTGCATGATAAACAGTTTAGTAGGTGGACATGACTAAAATGCTATGGTTTTAGGATCATTTGAATGTGGTTACAATGTTTATTAAATAAAAGTTTTTGAAACATTTCAGTATACATGTTTGATACAAGAACTTGCAGTTTCAGTCTTCCAGTTCAAAAGGTGATGGTGTGGTTTTTCTTAATTTAAATATCTTCATTTTAATTTGAAGAACAAATCATAACACGCTTGTCAAAGATTGGAAACATTACTGTAAATACAGCACATGATTCCTGAAAGAGCAAAGTTACAACCATCTACAGGTACATAGTCATAAACAAAAAGTGCAATCCAATTGAAAAAATTCATGCTTGGCAAATGCCAAAAATTAGATCACTGGCTTTCAGAATCTCACCAGTGTTTACATGTTTGCAGTAAAATTATCATGTTCTGGGTACTACTGTATCAGCCTGGCTCATTCAATCTGAAATGAGTTTCCTCTGCAACAGAACCCATATACTGTATGTACAGGTATGTATATATATTATATATATATATATATATATATATATAAAAAAGCAAAAAACAAACACCTGTCCTGATTTTTTTTGTTAAAACATGAAAAAAAATGTTTTAGACAAAGAGGCCACTTTTGGAAAATAATACTTTGAATTGAATTGGGAGGAGACCAGTTAAACTCACATAGGTTTCGCGTTTTTTAAAAAGGAAAGCACAAGGATCAGTTATTGGCACTAAGTTACTATTTACACTGAACAGAGGTTTTGCAGTTTACATAACATCAATACAATGCAGTTTGAGTCTCTGATTAAGAAAAAACAAATGTTTTTCTCCTTGTCATAGAGGACATTCAGATTATTAGGACAAGTGGTCATGGACAAGTTCTGTAGAAGTTCTCAACTTCAGACTCATGTGCATTCTGGTGCTGGAAGATGCTGCACTTTGGCGAAGCCGGTCACTGAGTTGGAAGCTAATGGGGGGCGGGGTGACACCTGATAATGACAGTCGGTGTAGACCAGGAATTTACAAGTTGTCACCAGGCTGATACTGGGGTTCTGTTGCAGTAAAGTAGTCTTCAAGGAAACCCTGCAAATATTCAAAAGTTGGACGTTCTTCTGGGTCTTTTTTCCAGCAGTGGATCATAAGCTCATGCAGGGAGCTGGGACAGTCCTGAGGACATGGCATCCTATAACCACGTTCTACCTGTTCCAAGACTTCACGGTTATTCATACCTACAAAGAGACAATGTGAAATGGTCTCTGTTAAAATACACAGACTTCTCGATGTATAATACATACACTTTTCTCAAGCTTATTCAGTCCTTTTGTAAAAGGAAAACAAAAACAAACAAACAGTTCCAGCTTTATAACTACTCCAGTATAAACTGGATCCATTTTCTTCCTAAGCAATGAACTCATCTAAACCACAGATCAGTAAAACGCTGCTCTCAGGAATACCCCCTATATCCACTCCATTGACTTCAAATGAATTGTCATGAGTGTAACAAAGGGCAGACCATGGTGATGTGTCAATAGATAGTTGTGCAATCGTCTGTGAAAAGGATTGTTTAGAGTTATTACAGCCTTTTGGTATGCAGAGCTTTTTTTTTCCCTAATCAGAATCCTAAAAGTTTTTTAAAAATATGAAAATTGACTTTTATAAAGGCTCAATTTGAGCTTGCTGAATTTTAAAAAAATATTTTTAGTGCTTGCTGGGAATGATGTGGGCAGAATTCAAGAAGAATACCAACAACACTGCTTTTAGACTATCAGATATCACTGACAGCATCACTAATATTTGTACAGAAGTTTATGGTTATTGGTGACAGATAGTCCCTTGTTCTGCATCTGACTTTGTTCATCCTGTGCTAAATATTAACTGCAGAATTTGCTTTGACAGAAAACTGTAACGGTTACATATGGGAGTGCAGTTTTAAGGGTATGGGTTAGTGCCAGTGTAGTTTCGAGAACACACCAATGTTCCTTCTATTACTTCCTATCCAAAAGAGAACAAGTTTGTTCTGATGGAAGAGATGGGTAAAATATAAAAAACAACCCTGCTCGCAAGGAGACCAACTCTCCCTGTAGAGAGACACCCCTCCATGATCCCGCTCTCGGGCTACAAGATATACTCCCCACTATGTGTTCCACTGCCAGACATCTGCCTTCCTTATCTGTGCCTTGGCTTTCCATTCCTCTCCTCCCCTCCTCCCCCAACAACAGATCATTCCGTTGAATTTTTTTCACCCTAAGTAGTTAAAACATATTAGCAACCTTCACTTCAGCTTAACTAAATTCTTTGATTTTTTCTTGGTTTTTTAATAATTTAAAGGAAAAAGTCCAGTACCTCTGCCATATGGAAGTATTTACCAGAAAATATGTACATTAATTACACCTTAAATGGCAGCTTGTATTCCAGCTTGCTAGTACTGTAACAAGTTTTCTCCCAAGCTATACCTGCAGACTTAGTATCCTTAACCCTGTGGGTCCTGCTGAGAAACTCTGTAGGCATCTCAGACTCTAAACACACTAGGCCAGCCAGACCTTTGGCATATCTTAAAAGTCTGCCACATACCAAATGGCCCTACACATCCAGATGGGCCTCATTTGTCAACATGTAACTTCCAAAATACATGCCACCAGTTTTTGAAAATGGCAAAAAAACCAGTGCTCCACAAGCCCTTCACCAGAAACAAAAGGTGAAGTTTCTAGGTCTCACTGTTTTTGAGACACACCATCAGCGCAGTGAAAATCTGTCATGCAGGCAAAATGTCCATAAGTATTTGTTTCATGCCACCAATGTACATAATACACAAAAGCATAAAGGCAGTTTTTGCCCCAAAGAGATTACAATTGAAAAGACAGGCACGTAAAAGGTGGTATGCCCTGGGAAATACGGAAGCTGGGTGACAAGGTTTTGTGTTTTGAATTACAAATGCCTCTAATTTTTCAAACTCTCATCTGTGAATCAGCTGGGTCAAGTCACCTCACATTTTAGTGTAAAAATCTCTTCAGTGCTTCTTGTCCCTCACAGGCTAAATTATAATTCTTTCAACCTTGAATAAATAAAGTGCCACACATAGGTAAAAAATATTGTTGGTTTACATTCTAGAATTTTTATGTTGGCTGGGTCCCTTCACGTGCAAGGGAAGTACAACACAGATAGCAGCAGCCCCATCATCACTAATTTTCCTCCCAAATCTGAATTAATTAGCATTTTGTTATTCTGGGATATTAGTTCAGTATTTTTATCCAGTGTATTATTTCATGCAGGCCAGTACATGGTGAAACTTGATAGTAGACTATACGCTGTAAGGAAAAGCCTAAGGAGAGAGTGAGGGAGGGGAAGGAGAAACAGTTCTCAACCTCTCTCTTTTTTTTTTAAAAAAACACGTGGGAAAGATTAACAAATTCCATGTACTGTGCTAACTGGAAACATATTGACATTCTCCGTCCACCCCAGAAAATCCAGCTATAAAACAATGAATCTGGCTATTGCTTGTCATCCTAGTGTTATCCAGAAGAATTCTTCTCACAAAGTCAGACTCAATCAAGCTACCACTGGCATTCATTTCGGAAATTCATATCTCCGCCAATAGCTACAGAATCCATACTTATCCAATCAACTTTACTGTGTTTCAAATGAAATGAGCTATCAATTTAAAAGGGACAGTGCCAAGATAAAAAAAAATCATCTTTGAATCCATCTGTATTACTAGTCAGATATTTGATTTATTGGAATCACTTAAATCATTATTTTTATTTTGTACTTCTTATGCTGTTTGTTTACTTTCCTACAAAAACTTTTTAATAGGATAAGTGAATCTAGATAGGCCAGTTTCACTGTTTCTTCTACATTAGTACAAGGCTGTTGTATTTCCATTTCTAACAAAGCAGAATATTTAAATGGTTTGCACAGTTCACTTCTCGTCTAAAAAAATCCAACCTTTTAATTTACTTAAACAAATACATACAGTCAGTTGTATCTGTAGTAGGTTTCTAAACCCTTTACAAGTTTTCGCTTACAAAACGTATGTCTGGGAAATAAACTGCTCAATAACATCCTATTTTAGGCAGCAGAAATTTCACTGTCCTGGATTTCAGCTGCATTCAAACTTTTTCTAGAACAAGCATTTGGGCCAGGGAAAACATTTGCCCTTAAGTTCTAAAAGGCAATTTTTCTATTAGCTCCTGATTCCACTATAGGAGTGAGAAAACACATTGCTTTATTGGTGAAGGATGTTGCCATTTTAAGACCACACACCTCTTTCCTGTCTCAAGTTATTAGAGATTTGCATGTGAATCACTAAAGCTGCTGGGAAGCTATACGAATCTGCTGCCCAAAGCTATACAGATCAGAAACAGAGACGCTCTCCCACCTGGTTTACCTAGAAAAGCTCCGACAGAGTTTCTCACTCCCGATCACTTTCCTTTATTTTTGGGAGAAAGGGATGGAGTGTCATAAATGGGATTTAAAAGCTCAGTTCTGGCCTGTAGAGAAGTCCCGCTAGCAAACAAAGGGTTTGTTTACACTGGCACTTGACAGCGCTGCAACTTTCTCGCTCAGGAGTGTGAAACCCCCCCGCAAGTTTCAGCGCTGTAAAGTGCCAGTGTAGACAGTGCACCAGCGCTGGGAGCCGTGCTCCCAACATTGGTAGCTACGCCCCTCGTGTAGGTGGGTTTTTTTTAAGAAGTGCTGGGAGAGCTCTCGCCCAGCTCTCTGCCGCGACTACACAAGCCATGTTAAAGCGCCGCTGCGGCAGCGCTTTAACGTTGCCAGTGAAGACGTGCCCAAACTGAGGAAAAGTGCTGCAGGCTGTCTTCTGAGGACTCCCTTGTCAGCCCTGGAGCAGAAGGCAGGATTGAGGGGGGAGGGGCATGCATGCTACAGAGATTGTGGGCAGCACTCAGGGAACAGGTTTCTGTAACTTAGCCCCATAGGGCTGTCTAAATTACAGCAGCAGCCTCTTTAGCCCTAAATCAGGAGGGTGCAGTGATGGCTTTATGCTAGTTTACTCCCCTACTCCTTTTCCCTGGGCTGAGTTTTGTGCTGCGTCTTTTAAAGGCACAGCACATAATCGCACTCTAAATTAAACTGGGATATTTCAGGACACTCATGATTTGTCATATCTTTTCCACAGGTTAATTTAGGTTTCTCTTCCTATGTAGCTCTTACTATGCTGATCCAAAGGGTATCTCTCTTAAATAAAAGCTTTCCCAATTATTGCAGTATACAGCCACGCTGCCTCCTCTGCATGAATTACTTCCCTGTCCCATTAGCCACCCTCTCCACCTTCACATTCCTTCACTATACGTTTCTTCTGAACTACCCATAGAAAGTGAGTTCTAGGTATAGCTGTAACACAACCAACCCCACAGCTAATTTCTCACAATACCTTTTGCGTCTTTTAGACTGTGTCTCACTACTTGCTTAGCATCAATGCGCTTGTACAATTCACAAAGTAAAACTATCCCTACCTTGACAATTTTAATCTAAGGCTATGTCTTCACTACCATGGGATAACTAACCCACATAAGCTCACTGCTGTAAAATCTTGTCGAAACAAGGCACTTGAGTTCTACTGTGTGGTACAGTAGGTGAGGTCAACCACAGATGTGAGGAAAAGTGCTGACCTTACCTAGCTACCTAATGGTAAAGACTACGGTGCCTTGTCTCCACTAGGGTTTTACAGCAGGATAGCTAATGCACGTTAGTAAAAAAGCACCTTCTTTGCAGTGAAGACACAGCCATACCCTAAAATCATCAGGGTAAGAACAGTTTCATTTGGGTATTGTACAGTACCCACCTTATTATTGACTCTATATAAACAATAAGGATCCCTCTCTGCTTCATTCGAGGTGCTGCAGGTTTGTAGGCTGAACTGGGTGTTGAACTCCAGTGGTAGACATTGGTGAAGCCAGCTCCTGAGTCCCTTGCATCAATATTTCTTTTTCTCTAGGTGCTCAAAAAACAACCGAACTAGAGAAGCACATCCAGATTGTGTGCGTCTCATACCCTGGTTTACTATACCAAAAATATATACTGAAGTACCTCTGAGAGAAATGCCAATACCAGATCAAACAACTGTATGCTTCAAAGCCAATGTTCTTAGTCAAGGAATTGTGTATATTTATCTCTAAAACGTGATGCCATAGTCACTAAGTAGCATCTGTTAGCTAAAGGTGAAGTACAGTAAATTGCATCATGATGTTGTAATTCTTCAACTATCTTTTCCCCAAGTGTGTTATTAAAGGGTTTGAGCAATATGTTTAAATTGCATTTAACGCTGTACAACATAGGAATAAATTTGGCCAACAGCTAAGAAAAACTGACTATTCCCTCAAATGGCTTTGAAACCCTTACTTATGCTATGGGTCAGATTTTAAGAATATGTCCTCTAATAGGCAGAGACATCCGCATGTGCTGATAACTATTCAGTTTTTGTGCTGAATGCTATCAACTTTGGGTGTGTGAATAAGGGTGCAAATTTGGAGGCAATTTTGAAAGAGTCCCATCAAAAAGGCCAACTTTCAGTTTTCCAGAAACAAAAGCAGTTGTCGTCTTTGGAAGATGAAACTCAGGCTGAGTCAGCAAAGTTGGCAGGCGGACTGGATAAAAGTTCCAGCTCTGGCCCATCTCAGGGCCTCATTCTTCACTCTGTTACACCAGCATAAAAACCAGGGTAAATCCACAGCAGTCAGTGGCGCTGCACCACAGTAAAACCAGTGTCAGAGCGAAGGATCAGGCTACTTTTATACTCACATGCCCAAGCTAATATACTGAGCTAGCCACACCCCAAGGAGGACAACCACTGGAAAGGCCAAGAAAGAGGCAGCACCACACTTTCAAACCCCCAAGAAGGAAGAAAATGATCTGTTTTTTAAAATGGTTTATGTTATCATTTCCTATGTATTTTTTTCCTAAAGCAGAAATAATTCTCATGGCATTAGCCAATATTTTCAAGAACCACTTTGGACATTTTGAGCTAACAGCCAAATGACTGACTCTTCCTCACAGTGAACAGTATCTGATGATGCAAACAGTCCCACTGAAATCCATGGGAGAGTGCCTGTGGATATGTAATTGGTACTATTTGCCGTGAGACATGGTTGCACAATTGGGCCCTTAGCCTTTGTAAACAGAGCTTTGCTATTTTCCAAAGGCCACTCTTGGATGGAATTCTGTACAGGGTTTGATGGCACTGTGGCAGATACTTCTCCAAGTAGAGCATGTACATATGCTGCCATTCCGTGCATGAACATACTAATAGAAATTTTAACACCAGAAGCAGGACAGGCAAGGCAGATGTGCTTGATCAGTGTAGTTGGAATGTGCGGCTGCACTGCCTGATAAAGCAACATTTTAGACAATAATCCTGCTGTACAACAGCCAAAGAATTGTAGCCTCCTACTTCTCAACTGTGGTAAAGAGAAGATTAAGATCCAAGGGGAATGTGGGTAAAGCAAAAACAGTAAAACTAAAAATAAGTTGACATTCATTTTGGCTTTGGTTCTCTCATACCCCATGTAGTTTTTATTCCGCCCCCCATGTACTAATAGTGACTAATATTTTTTTCTCTTACTTAATTGGCCTCTCAGAGTTGGTAAGACAACTCCCACCTGTTCATGCTCTCTGTATGTGTGTATATATATCTCCTCAATATATGTTCCACTCTATATGCATCCGAAGAAGTGGGCAGTAGCCCACAAAAGCTTATGCTCTAATAAATTTGTTAGTCTCTAAGGTGCCACAAGTACTCCTGTTCTTTTTGCGGATACAGACTAACACGGCTGCTACTCTGAAACCTGTCATTGTTGAAGTTGCTTACTTCAAGCTCCTGTCTTTTAAAGGGTTAAAGAGAGCACCAATAAATGAACTGAACATTGCAGCCCATCTGTTAAGAAATCACGCTACTGCTGGCAGGGACTGCTAGGGCTGGGCTATAAGGTTTAATTGTGAGCCTTGACATCCCTTTAATCTCTGCCTCCTTTTCATCAGTGTCTGAGGCTCAAAGCTTTACCTCCTTCGCACCCAAAATGGAGCACCAGGGTGCTTGATTTGCAGACTGAGGGAGAGAGAATGCCGTACTTCCCATTCATATCCATAATATTTCCCCTTCCTCTGTCCGTCTTCCCTTTTCTGCTCTATGTTGTGCCTTTGGCCAGGAACGGGGAACCACGGCCAATGGGAGCTTTGGGGGAGGTACCGCAGGTGAGGGCAGCACGCGGAGCCCTCTGTCAGCCCCAGGGGCCGCAGAGACGTGATGCCGGCCACTTCCAGGAGCGGAGCGGCATGGGGCCAGGGCAGGCAGGGAGCCTGTCTTAGCCCCACTGCGCACTACTGCCACCCCGGAGCTGCTCTAGGTAAGTGGCGCCGGGCCGGAGCCTGCACTCCGAACCCCTCCTGCATCCTGCACCCCAA